GTCAAGCTTAAATAAATTTTAAAAAAACTTTTTAAAAATAATTTTAGCAGGCAAATTTGCCTGCTAGACGGTTTAAGAGATACATATGAAAGTCTAAAATAAAAGCCACTTCAAAATTCGAGTAAAAAATTAATGAAATAAGAAAAAAAAAAAAATTGTATAACAAATTTTTATTGCGCAAAGCCAAAGTTCAAATAATGCTATAAAAGTTTTAAGATCGATAAAGATTTTAAAAATATATATATAAAGTAAGTTAATTAAGCAAAATGTTTTATTAATACCACCTTTATTATTAATAAAATAAAATAACTGATCCTTCTTGAAATGAATTTAAAAAATATCCACCAAAATCACCAAAAGGACATCCAGTTGCAAAATATATTCATTGTAATCATCAATTATCAGGCCAAGCACAACGTCTTCGTGCACATTTAAATTCTTGTCAAAAATATTAAAATTTTGTAAATTTAAGTTAAAATGAACCTACTTTTTTTGATTCTTCATCTCAAAAAAAAACAAATTTACAAATTGATCCTTATTTGTCACATCTATTAACTCTTATTAAAAAAAAATCTATTGATAAAAGAATTGTACATGCATTTTGTGCAGGTGGTATTCCACATGCATTAATTGAAAATAATTTTTTTATTTCAGCTTTGCAATCACTTCACCCTTCTTATAACCCACTATCTCGCTAGTTACTTAGCAATACTTTGTTAAGTGATGAATACGAAGAAATTAAAAATCAAGTCCAAAAAATTTATTCAAAGGAAAAATTTATTTCTCTTTTAACCGATAGATGGTTAACTCAGCACAATGAATCAATCATTAATTATATTACTTTAACAGCACATGGGCCAATTTTTTTTAAATCAGTAGCAACAGAAACTCATTCTCACACAGCTAAATATATTGCAAAAGGAATTCAAGAAGCTATCTTAGAATTTAAAGAAAATTTTGTAGTTTCAGTTATAACTGATAATGCTGCAAATATGCATACAGCTTGGAATATTCTTCGTATACAATTTCCTTCTATTCTTTTTTATGGATGTGCAGCACATTTAACGAATCTGATTATTTCTGATATTTTTAAAAATTCTAAGTCTACTGATAACAGTAATGAATTACAATGGGTATGCAACACATTAAAAGTAGCAAGTAAAATTACTAATTATTTTAATTCTCATCAAGTAGTAAAAGCATACCTCTATAAAACTTAAAAACAAAAATTCAATAAAACTATCGCATTAGTAAATCCTGTAAAAACAAGATGGAAAACTCAACTAGCTGTACTTGAAAAATTACTGGAGTTAAAAAGTAGCATTCAGGTTTGTTTTAATATACAAAACTATAAATACTGTATTATTGTAGATCTGATAGTAATAAGTTATTATTGCAAGTTATATGTACTATATACTAAGTATGTTTATCTTTAATATATTTAATTTTTTTAAATAAAATACTAACTTTTTATTATTTGCTTTGATGCTTTTATATTGTATATACTTTATTATATTTAACTTTTATTTTAATTTTATTGTTATTATTTATTAATCGATTTATTTAATTCTAACTCATTTGTATTTATTTTTCTTAATTATCCCAGTGCTAGCATATATATTATGTAAGTTCTTTGCTTATTATATTCTTTTATTATTATTATCATTACTTTACTAATTTAAACTTTATTCGATTATATATATTGTAAGTAAACGAATTAAGTGGATTGGAATTTTAGTTAAATTAGAGTTAAAATAAATATTTATATAACAAATGCTATGCTAAACTAAAGAATCCTGAATCTGCTCGAATTTTGTTTCTATTTGCAATATATATAAATATTTACTTTTTTACTAATATATAGTAAAACCTCATATTTGTAAATGCATATTTTCTTTTAATATATGTATACTCAAGTTCTGGCCCAAATATATATACTAACTTATAAATATACTTTTTTATTGTATATTATTAAAGTTGAGCTTAAGAGTATGCATTTATAGAGGTTTTACTATATAAGAGCTATACCGGACTATGTAATAAATATATTTAAAAATTTAATATGTACTAACTATAATATGCTATTTAGAGTATATTAGAAAATAATAAAATACTAGCTCGAACTCAACAAGATCGCCAAATTAGAATTTTATGAGGATAATTGGGATAATATTTTAATTTTAGCTAAAGTATTACACCCAATTGTAAAATGTATGATATATATAATAACTTTTTTTTAATAAAAAGTTTTTTTAATTTTATTTTATATATGTAGGTATTACTAAATTCGAAAGTGATTCAGCTACTTTATCTTTAGTTTACAAAGAAATGATTGATATAAAAGATTTAAAACACAATATTACAAGCCCTATTCAAGATTCTGTAGTAGATATTATCTCCAAACAGTTTAATTATATGCAAACTCCTATATAATATTATTAGTGTCACGGGCAGAATAAATCGTGACCACCTAAAACGTGACCCAAACGACGATCGGGTTCCGGATCGGTGAACGATCTGCAATTATGGCGCAACAACGATGCCTCGGGTTTTGGCATTTACGATTAACCTAAAATTGGGTGAAACCCGCATATCTGGGTCCCATACGATCGTATGACAGGCGTACT